CTGCTCTTAAGTCTTTTTAAATGGAGTGAATCAAGTTCACCTAAATTATCTAGGATAATCTCCCTTACTTAAAGTCCATTGATGACGGACTTCGAGCACAACTATAAAATACCTTTACAGCGGGGTGCCTGGGTGGCTCAGTCGTTAAGCGTCTGCCTTTGGCTCAGGTCATGATCCCGGGGTCCTGGGATGGAGCCCCCTGGAGCGTCGGGCTCCCTGCTCAGCGGGAAGCCTGTTCTCCCTCTACCCCTCTCCCTGCTTGTGTTCCCTCTCTCACTGTGTCTCTCTCTGTCAAAAAAATAAATAAAATCTTAAAAAAAATTTTTTTAATTAAAAAATTAAAAAGTAAAATACCTTTACAGCAACACCTACACTGGTGTTTGACTAACGGGAATATAGCCTAACCAAGTGGACATTGACCATCACATCTCCCAACGCAATGCCTCCTTCTGCAGCCAGATTTACTCTACCAGAATGCATCCCGAGGTGCACGCTGCAGGCCTTTGCACGGAGGGACTCCGTGTGGATGGCCTGCTCCCTGATGGCCCACCATGCACAGCCCATCCTCCCATCTGGCCCACCTCACAACCCATCTCTATAAAACTCCAGACATTGCTTTGCCTTTGCACTTTTGAAGCCTCAAATTGTCAGTAAGCCTTTTTTCTTTCTCTTCCCTGAAACTAAAATCCCTTATAAGCACAGGGGATGTCTTCTGTCTTGGAATCCTGAGCATGGAGGAGACTCTATGGATGTGTGTAATGGAGGTGAGCTCATTTACTATGTATAACCCAAATTCCCAGCTTTATTCATCCCAAGGATCATCTGGACAAGCAAATAATTCAGATGAGAGGAAGAAGTATTTTCTCCTCGATTATTCAAGTTTCAAAGAGAAGGAATGAAAAAGATGATAAAGAGTGTAAAGAAGTGCATGTCTTGCACTGTTCGGATATGCTACTGTGAGCTACTGTCCAAGTCTAGGTTTGCCAGAGAAAAGGGGTAGGCCTTTAAATTTGAGATGTTCAGACACAATCTTCCCAAAGTTCCAGTTCTCCCTCCAGCCCATTGCCCCAGAAATATCTTTGTCTCTCGTTCTGAAGGGTCCCTTTCTTTTGCAGCTTCCACAGTTTGGTTGAAACTGCTTGCAAAAGTAATTTTATTTGCAGCTGATTCTTGTCCTCTAATAGCTAATATATGTTGAGCACCTGCCATATACCAAACCCCATCTCAATTATTCTACACAACAATCATATAAGGTAGTACTTTTATTGTCCCCAATTTAAAGACGAGGAAAAAGGCTGAACAGATGCCACTATTCGTCATAGAGAATGTGCTTTATCTTGGGCTTCATCTTCATGTGGGCATCTTGAGCACTAAAATTTAAGGACAATAATGCCTACCTCAGTGCAATGTGGTGAGGATCAATTAAGATCAAGTAAGTGAAAGTGGCTGGTATTGAGACAGGCATACAAGGGGCGCTTAGTGAACGTAAGGGACAAGCACAAGAACGGTAGAATATAGATGTTGCTTGACAAATGTACTTATTCTTCTCTGCCTTGCTCAGTTATAAAGCTCCAGGCATTGGATCACAGAACTGAGGATGACACCTACTATGTTTTCTCTGGACAAAACTGGGTAAAGACAGTAACTCATGTTTCTCAGATATAATAGGGTCTGCCTGCATCATAATCATCTGGGGAGTTAATTAAAATGAAGACGCCCAGAACCGCTCCCCATCCCCACCCCACTGCACTGATCGGTAGGCAATTGTCTTTTTAGACAAGCTTGAGTAATTCATACATACTCCTGAATTTAAGAGCAAATACAGGGGCACCTGGGTGGCTCAG